GCCACGGGAGCACGCCCCCGCCGCGGGAGCCGTCCCGCCGCGGGTCGTCGCCTCCCCAGCCACCGGAGCCGCCCCGCTGCGCCCTTCGCCGCCTCCTGCAGCCGCCGTCGGTCGCCGCGCCCGTCGCCCCGGGAGCCGCCCCATCGGAGCCGCCGCCCGTCGCGCGCCGGGGGAGCCCTGCCGCAGGAACCCGGCACCCCCTCGCCTCTACAGTGCCTGCCTCGCCTCCCTCACGCGAACCTGCTCTACGCGCCGCCCCTCATCCTCAGCGGCGAGAGGTACGCGGGAGCTGCCGCCGCCGCCGCTGCCAGGGGCGTGGACGCGTGTGGGCCTACTGTCGGCGTACGAGGTCGCGCCTGAGCCTGCGGCACGGTGGCGCGGGGCCCTCCGCCGCCAGTTCCCTGCCGGTTCGAGATCCCCCATTGCTCTCCTGCCTGCCGTCGTTGGTCTTCCTGCTACCAGCCCCGCCCTTCTCCGCCCTATCTCCAAGACAACGTTCTGCTCCATCCGTTGGTAAGTAGCGACCATGTCATCTCTTCCCCTTTCAATCCCTATAGTACTTTTCCCATGGTGTTTTTCGATGGTGGTGAAACTCAGGCGCCCATGACCACCGTGTTTCTTTTCCTTTTATTCCTTGGCCGTAGTTTTCATGAATCGCAATGGTTTTCATTAGCTGTAAGCATGTAACTGACAGAGTAAGGCATGGCTGTTTGCTTTGATCAAATCCAACCCCATTATCAAATGAAATGCTAGGAGAAAATAAGTTGGTAGCACTTCTCTTTTTCCAAAAGAGCTGGCATGCTGGGCAGCAGTGCTCTTTTGGTTTTGCTTAGCTGCAGGATAAAATGATCACCCAGTTAGTCACGGGCTCATGGCTGGGTTAAATGTATTCAGAAGAAGAAGTCTCTGACCGCCACACACCTGTCGTCGACCAGCACATCAGGTAACCCACCCGCTGTCCACCATTGGATTCAGTTTCGCCTTCAAACTGCGTTTATGCATAAATTCAGAGTCACGGAATAAAAATGCTTCTTTGTTGTGATAATCTAAAATTTCCAAAGATTTATTCCAAGTGATTCTCCAGATTTGTCCCCTCGGAGCAGTCAATTCTTTGTTGTAGACAAGATGGTACTCCTCGGAGTAGAAGTTGATGTACTGTAGTCATCTTCAAGTGCTGGTAGAAGCTGATTTAGTCGATTCTTTGGAATAAATTGCAGCAAATTACAGTACGGCGCTGTTCAATACGAATTGGATTTGTTGTAAATTTTACAGGTTGACTAAGGTGCTGTTGAGATGACTACGCTGCTGTCAATTTAAATAAACCTGAATTGACTTTGGAGTAAAACAGGGTAGACTTCAACTTCAAACAATAGCAGTAAGACAATAATAGTGGCTTTTTAGGCTTTTTTTAGAGTGTGTTTCATGCTGGCCTACAATGATGAACTAGGGCTGGCTTATATTCTGTTTCTGAATTCGGTTGATGTGCAGATTTAACAAACTGCAGTAGGGCTGGACTTTTATAGGTAGCAGCCTCAGTTTATCTCCAAGGGATTATTGTTCGCAGACACTATTGTAGGCATTTTGGGATATAGGGCTGGCCTTTTTCAACTGTAGGTTTTCACAAACAGTAGACATCTCAATACTTGCTTCTTGGAACAGCAACACACCAAGAATAAATTAACAGATCAACAAATGGTCCAGGAAACATAGCTGCTTGCTGGTATCTCCTGAATTTTGAACCAAAACAAGATCCAATTCATAAATGAACAAAAACATGGCGCTAGCTGGTATCTCCCGGTAACACACCAAATTATTCAAATAAAATACTCCATGTAATTCAAATAAATACTCCTGTACAGGAGCCACCATACAAACCTCTCTGTAATATGTTGTGAGTACAACTTGAGAGAGTTTCAAAGAAATAAAAGAAAACAACTAACACTTCAGAGAATATATTGTTGTTTATATAAACTAAAACCCATTTTGGTTGTGATAAACAGAGAAAATAATATAGAACTGTGGTCTAACAATTTTGTCGTGATTCTTCTAATTTGAATTTGAATGCATCAAGGTATTGTCAATTTCTGTGACAGGATTTTGTTGTGAATTTCAGATTTTAGAAGAAGAGATTGGTGGTGTTAAAGGACATTTTGGACCAATCAATGAATTAGCATTTAATCCTGATGGGAGGAGGTTAGTTCATACTCTAAATTGTATTTCTATTTCTTTGTTTGTATTTTGCCTCTGATCAAGATTAGCATTTAATCCTAAACATTTTAACAATCTCCGAGTCCAACTTTCAGGTCTTGAAAGTAGCATATACATCAAATGTTTGTGGACATCATGCATGGATGAAAATCTGGGAACAGTTAGTTTGTTGGCTATGTCTTGTCATAGCTGGGTGCTCGTGATTCAAAAGATTTAAAGGTGACCTCGTCAAAGCATTGTTTAGCAAAAAGAACACTGCAGGTAAAAACACAAGAAGGAAACATTGTGATGTTTGTCTGAATTTATTTCCTACACACCAGTTTTTTGTCTCAACGTCTGTAGAGGTTATGCTTGTGCTACTGAATTTAAAATTGAATAGAGCTATCATTTAGATGCGCTTTTGGTAGCCTGCAGTTGGTTATTTGGTTGTCCCAAACTCAAGATCAATGCAATCACCTACTGTTAGTTCCATTACAATTCTATTTCATAACAGAAAAAGAGCACACTGCTTTGTTTGTTAAAGATAAACACCTCCTTTAGTGTTCACAAGGGAATGGCCACAAAAATTGATGTGTTTGTCTTCTATCTCTAAATAAAAAAAAGGCTATATATGCAAATTGTACCAGCATTGATTTGTAATATTTTCTGGTACAATCAAACTATCTTTGTATGCATATTATTCTCACATATACTTGTATATTAGTCGAGACGTGCATTTACACGTGCACGCTTACTAGTAATAACAAGGAAACACATAAGTTTCAAAGGAAAAATGCATTTTGATCATGGGTTGACACCCAATATTAGGTGGGCGAAATCAGTCTTAGGTTGCCTTGTGATACGCGTTGGTGCACCCAGCACAAAACCCCGCTCCCACGTAGGCTCGGGTGGGGACGGCCGAGGCGCGAGGGTCGGCACCTACCGAGCCGCAAGACAACTGGAGACAGGCTGTCTCCCACCCCCTCCGCTCTTCTTCGCTCTGTCTCGACTCTCTCTCCTCCCATCCTCCTCTCTCTCTCTCCTCTCTCCCCTTCCACCTTCTCCACCTCCCCCATTCCCCACTCCCCCTCGCCCCCGCCCACCTGCACCGCCAGCGCCCCCATTCCGCCTCCGCCCCGCCCGCCGCCGGATCCCACAGCTTCTCGCCGCCGCCTCCCGTCCGGCCTCCGAATCACCGGATCCCATCGGGGGTCCCCGCTGCCGCAGCTTCCACCGCCGGGGAGGTCCCCTGCCGCCGCCCGCCCACCCCCTGCCGAGGTGATTCCCGCGGACCTTTCGCTGTCATCTTAATATTGCTGCCAGCTTACTCTGGCGATCTCTGCTTCGCTCGCTGCTTAATGGGCTGGTCTCCAGCCGCCTAGTTGGTGAGAACGAGTAGAATATGCTGCTCCAGTGCTATGCTTGCTGTTTCAGGAGTGTTTGCTGGTTAAATGTTACCGTCTTTTGGTGCTGTAATTGTAAGGTTTTAGTTGCTTGATGCAAGCAATGTTTTACATGCCCTGGTTGTGCTTGTTGATTAGCTGGTTAAATCGGATGCTATGCTTGTTACGGCTTAGGGCGTCTCGGTACTACTCCATGTCTTTATGAACTGCGTGTGTGCTAGTAACTAATGGAACTTTTTATTACTGTGGCTTGTGCCCCTGAGGTTTAGGGTGCAATCAAACCAAACCAATTTTGCTAGAGAGCTGGCTTTGTTTGTTTTAGCATGTACCTGTACTTACCAAATTTGGGTTGTTGCCTCGATCGATCTAATGTAATTATTCGTCGATTACAGTGTTGTGGAAGCTGGACACAGCTGGAACTTGGAAGCAGGCCGAGTCTATGGTATTTGTGGGTCATTGTGCTATCGATGCGAGCAGAGAGCATGCGTGGCAGCTGTTCTTCGGGTGATGCACCTGACCAGAGGAGCTGCCGAAGCAGTCGGTTGGTTGACGATTGGACTGTTTGCGGCCTTTGCTGCTCTGGGTCTCCACTGCATTTTTCAGTCAGTCTACTTCTGGTTTCGGATTCGGAAGGGGACCTTGCTCTCACTCGGCTACTTTAATGGTCCCTGGGTGACTCGCATTGCTCTGATTCTCATCACTATTTGGTGGGGAGTAGGGGAGATTGTGAGATTGAGCTTCTTGAAGAGAAAGCTGTTCTCCAGCTTAGTATGGCAGAAGATCGCGTGTGATGCCTACATTCTCTCCAATCTAGGGTTTGCAGAACCAAGCATCTTCTTTGGCTTTGCTTTCCTCCTGCATGGCTCATTACAGAAGAGGGAGTTGGGCACTTTGACCCAGAGATGGAACTTGAAGACCATTGGCTACATGTTGGTTTTCTGTGTTCCGGTGTTCTTCGTTCAGGCCCTTCTTGTGTTTGTTGGGCCTACATTTGTTAAGGAGGAGAACAGTGCACAGGGAAGGAGAGTGTTTGCTAAATACTTCATTCAGACGTCCATGCCAGTTGGGGACACCAATGTTTGCACCTATCCGTTGTTTGGCACCATTTTTCTGGGACTTATCGATGCCGTCCTGATGAGCTATGTCTCCTATGTTGGATCTCGGGTGTTATCCTTGGTCATCAACAAGGCGCTGCGAAAGAGGGTTTCCTGGCTGATAATGTCGGTGCTTTTCTTCCTTCCTATCAGGGTGCTTCTTCTAGGGTTCTCAGTGATGCCCAACCCAGGAGATAAAGCATTTGAGGTCATTGTCTTCTTGTCATTCGTGATGATGCTATCCGGCACAACTGTTGGGATACTCTTGCTGGTATACTGGCCTGTCCGTGATTCATTGGCACTCAAAGATGCAGGCAACAGGGAGATAGCAGAGATGGTGCCTTATGACGATTACTACTATGAGGGCTCATCGCTTGTGGCCAACCAGAGCTTCCGAGAAATCGAGCGGAACTCTGACACGTCAACAAAGCGTGGCTCCATATCGTTCCGCACAATGATCAGGGAGGACCAGCTTCCGCCGGATGGCGCAGATGAGATCGGCTTCTCCTCTCGCAGCGGCGTCCATATTGGATCATCCTCGCCTGCAGGTTCTTCGCCAAGCGCTGCAATGCCCATGCTGCCTCTCAAGGAGGTCCCTAGATACTAAGTAGTGTTCACCTGTGGCTTCTGCCCGTCTACCATGTGCTCCCCCCCTTCCATTTTCTCCTCCCCCTTCCTCTTACCTACCTTAATGATAACAGTTTTGTGAATCAAAAGGTTTTTGTAAAGTTTTGGAGTAGCATGAATCGTCCATCTAGATCAGTCGTCTAGTTCCATGTTTATCAATGTAGCAAGTAGCTTAGATCTTGCAAAGGCTAAGCATCAGCTGTGCACCTGGCATTGGCTGGCAAGTTCACTTTTGGTTGGTTTGCTGCCCCCACAATGCTATCTTAGCTGATAAGCTCCACCATGGCATAGGCTGGAATGGGGCTCATCTTGTCTGTCTGCTCCTTAGTTGCCTCTCTCTGTGACAGCTATGCAGGCTAGTAGTGGCAGCATATGTTATGTTTTGAGACCTGGTCTTGAATTGAAGGTGTGTAAAGAAGCTGTCCGATATAAATGTCTTGGAGAAATCCAGCGCTGCATATGCAGGGCCCCAGAAACCCCCAAAAATGAAGATGGTAGGCAAAAATATCTGGCAGAATTGATTTATTTTTCCCTTGCCTCCTAGGATGTTTCACTTTCACCTGGACTGGAATTGTCGCTTGAAATCTACCATAGATGTCTAGGCAGGCTTCCTATGGCTGCTAGCTGCTGCTGCTGACAGCTTGTCTTTTAGGTGGTTTTGTCACTGGCCACTCTGGATTTTATTTTATCCGTGTTGCGCGGCGCGCCTGTCTTTTATCCTTTGACATGGTCTGCAGATGTCCCATTGAAAATTCACCAGTGGGGCGGGCGATCACGGTTTATTATTTGTTATTATTCTAGTTCCCCACGGGTGATCTAGATGCTCACTGCTTGGTATCCAAAGTTGCTTGCTGCGCGCAGTCAACTGGGACAATGTGGTCTCTGGTTTTCTTTTCTTTTCTTTGGTGGCTGCATGCCAGTTTCTGCAAGATCACTGCCCCCTGTTGTCCAGTCTCACCTTCGCCCCGAGAACGTGCCTTCTGTGCTGCCGCCTTGTACCACCAGCAGTCCAGCACGTAGATGCACATAGGATTCCCCTCAAGTTGGGGCAGCCGGCCAGTGTGTGTGTGGGCACTTGTGTTTACATGCTGTGTGACACTTGCTGTTTAGTACAGCGACGCATGTGACCTGGGGCACCGGCCAGTTATTATCGGTGGGGCTGCCGTGTTCCGGGGTTTTCTATGATGATGATGACGATCTACGGGAGATCATCGCACAGCCGCTTGAACAGGAGAACAAGGGAAGGTTAATAGTGAGCAGTGGTACTCGAATACTCGATCAAACTGGATCCTCTTTTTTTCTTCCTGTAGTGTCCTTTTGCTGATGCTAAAAACTTTCTGGGGTGAAATGATGTACGCATCCACACATCTCTGCTGCCGATCCGACATTCACTTGCGCCTTCAACTCTCGACAGTCCACGGTGACCTGCCTGAGCGAGCGCAAATAAGAAATCCAGTGCGATGTGGTGGTGGTGGTACTACGGGTACGGGATGATGAATAGAAATGGAGCAAGTGTGTTGGCGATCTGCTGTGGTCCCCGCTGAATCTTCCTAGTTGGACGAAGGAACGGAGGCATATCTTCTCCTGCATCGGAAGCCTGGACGGGTATAATAGTGGCGGATCTTCTCTTAACCAGCGGGCGCCAGCTGCTGCCGTGCCTAACTTGCCGGCCCGGCCCGGCCGGGTTGGCGACAGCCGCATCGAACCGACGGTCTCCTGTACGGCTGTACCGCGACTCGGCGGCAGGGCGAGCGAGGCGTGCAGCCGCTCGCGTGGAGGGAATGAACATGCATCGATGGCACGGCAAAGCAGGTGTGAGCTGGGGCTGGCTAGTCGTCTCACGCTGCGAGATACAGCTAGCTTCCATTCTAGTGTTGTGGTGAGATGTGTGGCTCCTGCTTTGCACTTCGTCGTGCTGGCGCCGTCCGTGGTCGCGGCCTTGTGCGTTCATTCGAGTGCCCAAGACTTTTGTGCGGGTAAATAGGTTGATGAATCGATGGATGATGTGGTTGTGTGGGAGGAACTCTAGCGGATGCGCCGTGTTTTGGATCACTAAATGCGTTATGGAGGCGATCGCCGTAATTTATGAAGGCTATGAAATAATAGTCCCTCCAAAAAATTGCTGCTGGCTCGACTAGTTTTTTTTTAAACGGAGGCAAAAGCTTTGCCTCATTTCATTAATAAAGAAGAAGAGAATTGTCCGGTTAATTAACGGAAAACCGGACAAAAACCGTTACAACACGTCCATACAGGACACACAGGGCGACCTGACAACCAACACAAGAACGCACACACGTCGCCAAAGGAGAGAACGCCCTCAAGGTTGCAACTCGGTGTCATCGTCATCACACCTCCACAAGGGCGACTCCGACTCCATCATCGACGACCACGAAGTAGCCCTCACCATAAGCAAACGCCGAGGCCTGCACCGGCCGATGCCAAACAGTCAACTGCACACGCCTGTTACCAGGCAGCTCCGACTCTGTGAACGAGCATAGCAGGAAAAAAAGCGTCGAGCCTGCGCCGAGCCAGCGCTGGAACCGACCACCCGCCTCGCGTCATCGTTGCCGCAAGGGCCCTCCTCAGCAGCTCCGACTCCAGAAAGACAAAGTGAAGCACGACAACCCCTCGAACACGCCAGATGAGACCGACTACCAAAACTCAGCTACAAACCAACTCCGCCCATAGCCGCCATCGTTGCCACACAAGAATCCGTGCCTACCACTCACATCGCCAGCCGGGCACCTACCGACTGTGATGTCGTGCATGGCCAGCTCCAGGAAAGTGCGAAGGGGATCGATGACCTTTAAGGCGACGCCCCCAAGGGGGTCGCGACGTTGCAGAACGACACCGTCGCCCGACTCACACCGGAGTCTTAGGCTTTCGCCCGTTGGCCATGGTCCGAAGATGTTAGGAATGGAGAGGCTCCACGACGAACCCCCAAGGAGGAAGAATGACGTCCACGGACGCCGTGCTGTCTAGGCTTTCGCTCGGAGCCCCCTCACCAAGCACCCCCATGCAACCGATGATGCAGCACCACCAGACCGCAAACTTGCCGTCCCACACACCTCCTACGCGATGACGACACCACCATCACGCAGGAGCCACCATCCTCACCGCCAGCAACCGCCGGCGAGCCAGAGCCGGCCAAACCAGCCAGATCTGGCGCCCATCACTGCACTGCCACGGAGACCACCAAGCCTTACTTGAGCAGGGAGGTGGGCTGCCACCACACCCCCACACGCCGGAGAAACGACTAGCCGGAGCTTTCGGAGTCCGCCAACGCCACCAGAGGCGTTGCAAAGAAGCCGCGGTGGTCAGCCACCGCACAACCGAGGGGGGTTGAGCCTCCCCCACCACCCACCACGCCGCCAGCCACGCCGGGCCAGCAAGGCCGGCCAGAACCGGAGCACCAAGCCAGGGAGGGGGGCCGTCACCCCGCCCCATCCCACCGAGCAGGAAAGACGGCTGGCCCGCCTATCCAACCGCAGCCACCGCACTGCCAGATGGGCCGCCGCCGAGCAACTGAGCCACTCGCCTGCACCTCCAACCGCTCGACCAGTTTATGGCAGGCTATAGTTCTTCCCAAACCCCATTGGTAGAAGTAGAACATGTAGCAAGCACACATTTCAACTTTTTTTTGCAGGGAAGCACACATTTCATTGGTAGAATTAATTTCTTTCATAGTATGGGCGGAAAATTAGTCACACTGAGACTTAATTTGTAGCATAAGTATAAAATTTAAAAAATGAGACCAACCCAAGGGCTAACCCTCGTTGGCATTTTTTTATAGGAGAAACTCCACGAGCACCACGAGTCCGAGCCAGGACTCGAACTCGGGTGGGCTGACAGCAACCCCAGCTGACCAGCCAACGGGTTGACGCCCCGCTCTCCATAAGTATAAAATTAACCAATAATAACATCCTATAACTAAGCTAGTTGCACCGGCGGAGGGACTTGCTTACGCTCGCGGAATGCGTCGCTAGGCGCCTCAATACAACGGAAACGAGCAGATTAGGCCGTCCTTTCTGAGTCCATCCTCAGACCAGCGTCCAAGACGCAGTCGAAGGCCACCTAATAGTCGGCCTCGCCATACACTCCCTTCCTCCTGCTCCCACTCGTGCTCCTCTTCCAACTTGATGGGTGGCGGGGCTTGCTTGATGTTGGCGGTATCGTCCTTTTGCCGCGCCATTGAGTGGAAGTGGTGGATGTGAGGCGCCAGTGAGGGGTGGCATTTTATAGTCGTGAA